CAAATGGTATAACCCCCCCCCCCCCCCTCCCCTTAATATAAGTAACACCAGAACTCCATCCTATGAGAGGTAGCATAGCTCATAGGGTGGGTACCATTCTCTCAGGATGGATAAAATGTAAAATAGCTCAAATGGTAGGTACTATTTTCTCAGGATGGATGAAATCTAATCAATAAAAGTGTGACTCTGGGAAGTAAGGGGATGACGCAATGCATTGCGGTTACACCGAGACAGAAGACTAGTAGTATAAAATTTTCTTTTTCATGACTGCTGATAGTGACCTTAGTTACTAAAACAATATAATGCAAGGGTCACAGAAATGGGTGCTAACCACTCAGAAGTTCTCTGCATACAACTCAGGGATTGGTGCATTAAATATTAACTTTGTGGTGTAATTTATTTCAATACAAATAATTATTTAAAAATCCAAGTAATTTGGTAGTACAAAAACATTGCTTTTGCTAAATTATTTTTTTTAACTCTATCTAGTTATATTTAGCTGTATAGGACTGCTGCTTTTTTTTACATTGTGAGGCAGTATTGAATCCTGAACTGCAAGAGATTGTAAATCAACAAAAACAAAAATACATAGCTCTGCTAATTATCCTAGACGAAGCATTCTGCAGATACAATGGGATCAATTCACAAAGCTCAGCGTTATGAGAGTAGAAGTTAATTTATCTATCCTTCTTTTACCACTCTTTATTTTACTGGCTGAAACATGCAATTCACAAAAGCTGGAATTGTGAATGCACACGCAGTTTAACGTTTTGGGTGTTATTTTAACACTTTTGCAGTGCTTTTTGGTAGCAGAAGGGGTGGAGCAGATGCCTAAATGACTGTTACTTTCACTTTCACCACACAAAAGGAATCCACATATAAGGAAGGAATATATTCCATATTCGCCACATGAATATTAATTTTAAATTTGGTAGAGAAGAAATCATATCGAAATAACTAACATTTCTTTCTGAACAGAATGAATATATGAAACATTAGATTTATTTAGATCTACATCTGTTGACAATCAGACAGTGTAGGGAGCGCAAGCAATTCTCCTGACCACCTAAAGCCTGTCTTGATAATAAATATATTGCATGGAACAATCCACTTGCTCTACAACCCCACTGAAGGGTGTCCAGGGACATTTGATTTTTCATGTCATGTGAGATTTGCCACTAACCTCTAAAAATCATCTACATTTGTAGAAGGATAAAAACTGTAGAAATGACAACTACATGCCGCCTTCTTCTGTACGCAAAAGCATTAAGCCATGTGAAAATGAAGAAAAAAGGTTCCATTTCTATCTACCTCACGTCATCTCAGTGCAACAAGCATCAGATAACGCCTGAAATCTGTCATAACACCACCCTGAAGGAGGTGATAAATCTACGTCTCAATAACGTAACCTTTTCCTTTTGTGAATTGCATTTCAAGCATATTTTATCACTCCAGTTGTTAAAATAACGTCTGAATAGTTAATTTACTACTTCTTAAAAATAAGAAGCCTTGAGTTTTGTGAATTGACAACCTTTACACAGCAACTATATAACAAGCGATATCAATTAAATAACGGCCGAAACGAAGAAATTAAAGAAAAAGCTTTGTGAATTGACCCCCAATATGTGCAATTGTAAGCCATAATTTGCTGTGTTCTAATTTCTAAAATGAATGTTTTGCATGAGTGCAACACAAATCCTGCTGACATTAAGACTAGGCTACACTGGTGATTTGAATCTCTTGCTAACAAATGTAACTATTTTCTGTCAGTCACCTGAATAGGCTGGAGCTACACAGAAGATTTTTAGAAGCTTAATCCTGCTACTAAATTTGGTAGTGAGTTAATTGCTAGGTGTAGCAAAGTATTGCTAAACAAATGGAGCACATGGCTCCCTCTGGAGCAGGTTACACATATAGCAAACAATCCCACATGAATGGAGCATTGTGAGTGATCGCTACTAAACACTACTTCTGTAGCCTGCTCCATTAACTCATTAGTCATTTTAGTAACAGAACTGAGCTTCTTAAAAATGTTTGTGTGGCTCTAGCCTATTCAGGTGACTGTTAGAAAATGGTTACATTTCTTAGTACCAAGAAATTAAAAGAGCCAGTGTAGCCCTAGCCTAGGGTGTTAATTTACTAAAGAAATAGAGCTTGTTTCCCTAACAAAGTGAATGTTCCCATTTAGGGTAAAGCTGTGATTACTTTGGATACTCAATATGTGACCTAAAAAAAAAAAAGATTGTTTGCTTGCATGATTGAATATTTAAAATTAACCCAGCTTTAACTTAAATGAACTAACATCCACTTTTTAAGGTAAACATTTACTTTGCTAGGTGAACGAACTCTAATCTGTTAGTAAATCCAACCCCTAATGGTCAGCCATGTGGTAGTTCTGGAGAGTGTCATGGCCCTGGCAGTGAAACTATATTGAGCTCCACAGCCACAGAACCAGCATGTGGCTGAAGTATTATTAAACTCTCAATCTTTTTTGTAATAATGAATCCAGATCATACAAATATACATTTGTCAGAACAGTACATCTTTACATTTTTGCCCAATTACTTAGTCATCCATGTTTCTGAAGAGCTGCTCGGCTTCTCTGAACTTCCTGTCCAGTACACGATCATAATGGAACAGCACAGTCTTCTGCAGCTGTCTATCTGCTTGCTTGGATAAGGAAAGAGGAGTAAAGAGTGGGGAGAAGGACAATACTAGCCTTGCTATGCTTGTGGAGACCCACATGGCTTACTAGCACACATAAGGGAGGCTCTGTAAGTCTTAAGGAGCAACCCTAAAAAATCATATGAGGACCAGTGCTCAGGGGACCAGCTGTTTCTACAGGCAACTAAAACTTTTAAACATCAAGAAGTGACATCCATTGTAAGTGATTTCATCTGCATTTTAAAAAGTTTAAACCTTTTGATTTTATTATCACCTGTGGGTGATTTTTAAAGATCGCTTCCTGGGCAGAGGGCGATACTGTAAGGTAAGAAACTTGCAATGGTTCAGGTATCTGCTGGTTACCCAATAATTTTGTGGATTTGGGCAGATAAGCAATAAAGGGCAGTGCACTTGTAGCAGGTATGCAATGTTGTTTTCTGCCATGGGAGCCGATACATTTAAGCTGCTTGGGAAAGCCTAATTTGTGGTAAGTATCAGATAAATTAGTGTTTACTCCAACAGAGCTTAGAAGTATAAAAAAAAAGTGTAAAGATAGTGGGCGGGCACCTGTAATGATGCTTTTTCACCCCAGCTTCCAGACAATGCTGTCTTTTTTCATAATACATGGCCTTTCAGCATAAGTACTTAGCAATACTGTGCCAACACAGAGACATGCTAGCATGAGCAAATGTTTACCCTCTGAACTGTTTAGTGTTTTCCAGTACCCCATAAAGTAAAAGTGGAATTCCCTTTCCTACCATGATGGAGCAGAATTAACTCTCAAAAAACAAACCACATGCTGCCATGCACACTTGAATGAACAGCTTTCCCCTTGAGGTACTGCAACTCAGAAAAGTTCTGGGAAATCTGGTGGTTATTTGGAGCCAAATTTGTAGATTTGTCAGAAATGATGTAGTAAATTATGGGAACATATAGTACATGTTTAAATCTCTGTTAGAGAGTGACTATAGTCATATGCTAGCTATGTTTATTATAAAAGCTTACAGGTCTAGTTAAATGACTTCAGCAGTCACCTTGATATTACTGAAACAGTATTTTACTTTTAAAGTAAAATGTACCTGTGACAGATCGCCCTCCCGGCCTCGCCCTGCACATATATTTTCTATCTTGTAGGACAACAGTCTAAGCACCAGTAGACTGAGAGTGATTGTCACTCCAGCAGTGAACTCCACAGTTAACCCTTTGCACATAAAAAGTAGCTGCCACCATGTGTTGATGTTAAAAAAATGTCTGTGACACTCACTGACACGCTAGACAGGGAGGTCTCCCCATATTCCTCTTTAAAATGTGGTATTATTCAAAGAGGTGGGGATTTTTTTATTTTATATTTAGAAAGTCATATTGGTTTTTAAATATCGTTTTAATTAAATAATATACAAGAAAATATTTACAGAAAAATATTCCAAAATAGACAATAACAGTAAATGAAAGGTTCTTCAAGTAAAGGTAAAGTTTTCCTAGCGTTTTGATTCAGAGTAGTCCATCTGGTGTATCAGAGTCACTGGCTTACACAAATTAACTCCCAGCATTTGTGCACACTTTCGATGTAGATGAGAGTTGTCAGCTGCCAGTTGCATCAGTTTTTTGTGGCCCCTCTGCAGGGTGTCACTGAGCCAATTATGAGCACTTTATGGTTGTGATATAGGAGTGCTGAACTATTTTTTAGCAGACACTCCCTCATGGCAGTTTTCCTAACTGTATCAATATTTCCACATGATAATGTTTTACAATCCAACAACCAGTGTGTTATTGAACAGAATAAAATCACGACTTGATAGGTATTAAATGTGATTAGATATTGATGCCTATTCACCTCAGGTGACGTAATGCGTCTTATCCACCTCCTGGATGTTATAGCATAGGCATGTTTGGTATTCATGTCATTGTTATTGTCTTAAACACTTGTGATTATGGTAGCTCCACTATGGCACTAATTATGGAAATCATATAAAACCTAACTGTGTGTGGCTAAAAAAAAAACAGACTCAATTTTTTCAGTCTAATTCTATGAGATGACTTTGCTTAATGGATGGCTATTAACAGGCTGTTGCTGTAAACTGTAATATATTATTTTGCTTAATGTTTCAAAGCTTATGAATGCCTAGCATAGAGCAGAGATTTAAAACAAGCCATTTTAATAGCTGATTAGCAAATTTTAGAGAAATGAGAGTGGCACTGTGCTCATATTTTTCTGTTTGGGGCTCATCGCACCTAAATTTTACCC